ACCCTAACCCCAAACCTTGACACAACCTTGAAATTGACATTTGACATCTAATTTCCAAACCATAATTCAACATTGAACACTCGAATCGAGATCCCGACCTTAGACTCGATCCCGACCTGAGAGCTTGACTCAGACTTGAGATCAAACCCCAATCAAAGACCCTGACCCAAGAACCGACCCCGACCCAAGAACTGAACCTAACTCAAACTTTATTCTCACCTGAGACTCGACCCCGACGTGAGACCCTTAACATTGCTCCAACCTTGACATCGACACTCAATGTTTGATTTCTGAACATTGATTCAACATTGACACCTCAATCGAGATCCAACACCAAAATTGATACTTGACGTTGAACCGAGACCTGACCCAAACTTGGGACCCAACTTTCAAAATGGGATATGTCTTCAACATTAGACCCTAGTATCCGACCCCAACACTCAATTCAAAATCCCATTCGAACACTTGATTTGAGACTCGACCCAAAATTTGAACTCTAATTCTAACTTGAGATTTGACCCTAACTCAATCCAAAACTCAGAAGTTGGGTCTTGAATTGAGATCGAGAGTTGGGTCTCCAATTGAGAATCAAGAGTCGGATCTAAGATTATTATTGATAAGGATGGAAAGTTGAGGTGTGAGGTTTAAAATAATTTTGGAAAATGGTTTCCTTACTTTTTCAAGGGAAGTCAATTTGGAAAACATTTTCCAAAACATTTGTGCCAACCAAACATGAAAAAATTGAAAAATATTTTCCTTCATACAAACACACCCTAAATGGAGTCATCAACTGCTAGAGAAATTTGTGCGTTTCTCAAAATTTGTAATGCTATAAGAAGCCCTCCTGGTCTAGCCGTTTAGGTAACAATTTTAACTTGGAGATTGATATACTTGCCAAGTATGCTTACACTTGTGGTGACAACAATGTCGAAGAGTGCCAATTTGGTACTAGGTGGAAATACAAGTACAAGCCATTATCATGGGATATTGTTGACATAGAGCTTTCGGTATATTATTTTTCTTATCCATTAAAAAAGATTAAGTGAGATGGTGTTGATAAAATTTTGGAGAACAACGATGATTTGATCCAACAAATCTTGGAGTTTACTCGTACTGTGCCAAAATGATGATACAGTTTATATGAGTCTAATATTTGCTAAGCACAAATTTTTATCTCCTCAAGAATTTCAAATTATGAAAGGGTACTAATAGAGTCGTTGATTGAGCATGCTAGGAGGGAATTCAGGTTGTTGCCTGTAGTAAGATAAAGATGAGTGTTCAATATGCATGGGGAAGTTACTTGCTTGAACATGAAACATACATGCCTTGCAATCACACTTTCCATTCTGGCTACATTGATACTTGATTTCTTAAAACCCCAAGTTGTCATATGTGTTGTTACACGTTGCCACCAATGGACTCAACAGAGGAAGTGATCTCTTTCTGCTAAAATATATATATGTTTAGATAAGTTTTGTCAACAATGTATCTTTACTTATAGCAAAAAGATTCTAGTTATTGAACTTAGGGTCTTGGCACCCAACAATTTCTATATTTTTCTATAGAAAAACATCATATTTAAGCTTCAAGATACTTGTATTCACATGAGTGCAGGATTGTGGGTGTGTTTGGTACGATGGAAAATGTTTTCCTAGAAAATGTTTTCCTGGAAAACAAGTAGATTTTGGACTTATTTTCTCATGTTTGGTTGGTGAGTAGAAAATATTTTCCGGAAAAGATTTTTTAGTGTTTGATTAATGAATGAAAAATATTTTTGAGAAAATATCTTTTATTTTTACTAGGGAGTAAAAAATAATTATTGAATTGAATTTGAAAATATTTTTTAAAAATAAACTTAGATTTTTTGGGGGGGGGGGGGG